GTAACGGCACGTAGGAAGAAAAAGCGATCACATTATGCGCCGAGAAGTCTATCGCGCGAAAACGATGTAAAGAGTCAGATCAGCAAATACTTTAAGAGCCTAATTACCTAGAACAGGTAATTGTAAAGAACTACCTGCAATTGATGTCGTAAAGTAATCTTACCTAAATTTGTCCATAATCCATGGCAGCCATCGATTCCAAAATTACTATCACCTGGAGGGTCTGAGTTTGAACGACACGTACGAACTCTCGAAAATACTCAGCCATCGACCAACCGCTTAAACGTCAAAAAGCAAACTACAGATCCTCCGGCCCAAAGTCAGTGTAAATGTCCTAGTGACTACTTTTTTAAAATCGTAGACTTTTTTTACCTGACTAACTAAGGATTACCTCGAATTACTGTCACGGTCAACGCAATTTCCTAAATGTTAACGGATATCGTCCTGTCGCTCAAGGACTCGCAAAGGTCCTCGATGTTTTACGAACTCCTTCCGCCCCTCGTTTGACGTGGCCACAAAAAGACCTTAAAAAAGCATTCGTAACCCAGCAGCCAGGAAGGCAGTTACGAAATTGCAAGGAATTTCAAGGCTGCTCGTAAAAACCTCGGAAAAGAATAGGCAGGGTGCCGCGCTTCCTGCAATAGTGTGGCTTTTTTCTTCACGCTGCTCGACGGATTGAAAGGGGACAGAGGGTAGGATGGGTCCGAGGTCTCTCAAGGGTTGTTAAAAACGGCCGCTTTGGCTAAAAAAAGCATTTAACGGGGTGACAGAGAGGGTGTTTATGGCGGGCATACCCATAAAGGGTCACAGTCGACACTGACTCCTGTGGGGGTGGGCGGTAAAAAGGCAGAGCTGCAAGGTCGTTGCGCTTTGACTCGCTCAAATCGGCCGCTTCACGATTCGCTTGACCTCGTAAAACTTCGATATGCTCAACCGTAGGAGCCAAACTTGTTGTTTCTTCGCGATATAACGATCCACCTCTTCCAATATTCCAATTCACGTACGAATTGCAAATATCCACATCCACTTTTTATTACCATGAAATATTTTATAGAGGTACCCAGTGTTTATTGAATAAATATATTGGTATTTGCTATCTGTGTTTTCATTAACAATTTTTATGATTTTTATTGCAAGTTTTCGTTACAAATAAAAAGATTCGGTGAATGCAGTTCCGTTCACCGTCGGAGTGAGGTTGAACTTAACCTTAATGCGCTCATTTGATTTTTCGATATTCGTCCGTCATTTTAATGATGCGTTTAGAAATAATTCTTAGATTTTTGGTAAAAAAGTGAAACAGCGTATCACGTGCAGGAAAATTGTAGTTTATAAGGGAATGAACCATAAAGGATCACAAGTTTCGAGTAACAGGTAAAGTTTGCAGGAAGAATCCGTTGGAAGTGGTCATGCCGACCCGTCGGATCTGTCCCATGACTGAAACTAACCATTTACGCTTGCCTCGACCTCGTAAACCCTACAATTGCCCATTTTGGGGTTTCTGCTTTTTTTCACCGTGTCCCTCATTGAAGACAAGCAGTTTTTTTTCACTGTCAAGGACGACGTCCAGAATTCGTGGGGTTAAGCGAACAAGAGTTAGTCCAACTCCGACTCACGCGCCTCTAACATCAAAGCTGCATCTACTCTAACAGAAAATCGTGTATAGACACGATTAATGCTATAATTAATTGGATTAATAAGAAAGTTCCTCATCAAATTGGTGATAAACTCGTCTGGGAATTCATGTGTTAGGTACTTAAGTATGAATGACGTGATGGTCATTGTGCAACCTGAAAATTGTGTTTATCAGTGTAATTTTGTTATAAAATTACAGTGTAAAAGGTTTGTGATATTCAAGTGTTATTTGAAAGGAAAAGTTGTTACCAGAAAAGTGCGTGGAATGTTCAGGCCATTTTTTGAAGATAAGTAACTACCTCGATGATAACGCGTTACTGATAATCGAGAAAGTAACCTCAAGTGCACAAAATAGGTTTCGTTTGTTTATCCATTTCTATAGTGTCTATTTTGTACACTAAGAGTTGAAGAATGAATGTGGTTCAAGTGAAGATAATTTTCTTCTGATATTTGCTGACCCTCGAACGACCGACCAGAGTCTGTAAAAGGAACTTTTTACTAAAGTTTTATGGTCCCTATGGTAGGTGACCCTATAAACACCTATCTAACTTTAAAATTACGAATTAGATTTCTATTTTAGATTCATAGCTTCCCTTTTCATTAAATTATAAACTGAAACAATGAAACAATCTCTCTTAATCACCTATTGTGTCTCAGAAATGTCCTACACAAATGAAATTAACTTCATTGTTTATGCGGTACCATCAATATTTCCATAATAACGAGCTTCGTAACTTCTGTTCAGTAAATATACAAAATTTGATTGATAGAGGGTTAAGTGCCAAAAGCTGAACGAAGTTGCTCATGACAAACGTGTTTGTACATGGTATATAAGTATGAGCAGGATCGTTTGCGTTGAGGCAGGTCAAGAACTCGTAGCCATATCAATATACTTAAGTGAAATGATACGAGGCAGTCGTAAAACTCGACAGTAATGACGCATTAGGGGGTTGCCGGGCCGATTTAGTTGGCTATCAAACAAAAGGCAACTTTTACTGAATCCCGGCCCAGACGGAGGCGCGCGCGTTTTAAAAGGTTCGGTCGAAGGAGTGCTGCGCCCGGCCATTTATACCTGACGTTTTATGCGTTTTATAGGCCCGACGTGCGTCTCGTGTGCCAAACGGCGCATAAAAGTGCAACCAGATTGCTCGTTCGCCTCGTTACCACGTTACGGATTATTCTTCAGATTTCACACTTCCACACCAGAGACATAGGCTATTCAAGTTGCGTTTCGTGATTAATTTTTGCACGCCTTTCGTCATGTTTCTCCCTCTACATTTCCCCTTTTCCTCAACCAACCACTACTATCTGGGGGGAATAAATTACGTCTATCTTATTAGCAGTTAGATGTTAATCGATTTGGAATCAATTACGACAAAGTACTCCTGTGTAATTGCTACCGGTGGTGGTCGAGAGATTTTATGTTACTGGATAATCACGATATTAATAGCCTTGGAAATAGACAACGACAGTAATTGTGCTGTGAATAATTATATACGTCCATTCCTTTCGGATTTGCAAATCACTTTATGTTTGTATGTATGTCGTCTATGAAGATTCCATTGAAAGAGGGTAGATCAGGGTCGAAAGTGATTTGTGATCATCCTAAAATATATCATAAGCACTTAAGCAAGTTGGTTACAAGATAAAGAATAAGAAGTGAAAAACGCACATTAACACTCCGTCAGTGATGAAGTATTACAATATCTTTCGGAAAAAGATCCAGTAAAACCATGTCATTAAAAATTTGATTAGAGATTTCATTATTAATCACACTGCCCTTTATTTTTTATTGCGTTCACGCATGCAGTCAAAGTATCGACCAAACATGGCGAGAACTTCTTGGATTTATGTGTTCGATGGTACGCTCGCGGAAAAAGGGAAGTAGACAGAAGGGGGAGAAAGTAGGAGTGAAGATTGATGGGATCAATATGCAGTAAGTCTGAGCAACGCGTTTCAAGCTAATGGCGGAGACGCGCCGGGAAAAACTTTGATATTACCCGGTAGCCAAGAGTACTTCCACGTCCAACGTTTTTAGTTACGATTATAACTTCGCCAAGTTAAATAGAAAAAACGATTAAATCGAGTGGATAAATGCACGGAACTTTGTTAGGTATACACTCCACGACAATGCTATAAGATACTTCAATAAGTACTGAACATATCATCCATTATCCTGATTAAAGTTGGTTTAAAATTATCCCTGATCAGAGTATGCACAAAATTGTTAAATTATACGTAAAAGATACCAAATGCTAGATACTGAACACGCGCTGGTCCGTAAACGTTGGTCGTACGACCGACGGTTGTTCGACGACAATTTCACTGTATCGTTTATTAATTGTTTGAAATGCGCATCAAATTAGTTGAGCTCGTAAACAATACGTCACGTATTCAATTTACAATCATACCACTGGCGATGGAATAAATTAATGCTGTTGCTATACTATCGTTCGCATAATAAATGTTGCGTTATCGAACGCATACGTTCGGGATATTAGCGCAATGTGTATAGGCGACAGCGAATTAATTAATCCAAAAAATTTTTCAACCCCAGCGACACGGTATCGGATTAATGAATTTATAAAATATAGCCGCCATATTGAAAACCATAAAATATCGAATTACAATTGATAGTCGGAACACCGATCACCGAATAAGAGTTATAAGATTTATATGTTTAATGAATATCATCGATTTGAATAAAATGTAAAGGTTGAAATAATATAAAATCCTATAAAACGACGTTAAGGTGCAATAGATATTAGTTCACTATCAAGTCAGTCCATAAGCGGTGTGATTCATCCTAGATAAAGAAAATGATCCATTTTAAATATTTAAAGAAGTTATATGATAATTGACAATGTTTATAAGTAGTAATTTGATTGAATACAAAAACCATTAGTAGAAAATGACCCTTATCACTAAATCGTGAAAGAGCTGATACACGTCTGGCGTTTTTCTGAGGAAAAACGATTCCCCGCTAAAAAGAATATTGCAAAGTCATAGAAGCAAGAGATTAAACCATGTTTCGAATTCGAATCTATAAGTGTATGTTTTGCTCCTCTGGGAATCGGGCGGCGGCACGTGTCAAAGGGTGGAAGAAGAAGCAGAAGAAGAAGAAGAAGAAATTCAACCAGCGACTTGGCAGATAATGCGCAAGCGCAAACTGCGAGGGCGATACTATGGAGAAATGCGTGCGCGAGTGAGACGACGTGCATAGACAAGATGGCTGCCCGACTCCCTCCACCGAATCTCCCACCGCTAGACCGGTTGGTACGCCTGCCTCGCGAAGAACCGAAAACCAGCTCACGCCGCCTAGCCAGAAACGGGTACATACAATCGCATACTGTTTCGTCTACACTTACCCCAAATATTTTTGAACTTCTGCCGCCTTTTTTTTCTTGACACGACGACGCCTGCCACTTTGGCTTTTCGTTGGTTTCACGGTGACTCCCCGACATATATACAGGCCTTTCGAAATCCTCGTTATTCTTTCTCGTCGTCGTCGATTTTCCACGAAAAAGACACGCACGAAAATGTATCCTCGTGCGTTCCCGAAGCTCACACAGCGCAGCGCTGCTTGACCCGAAGGGGTAGAGGATGTTGGGACGTAGAGGAGGGGAACGATGGTAAGGGCGAATTGCGTGAAAGACGCGCGTAAGAGGGGAATTCCAAAGTTTCGCAGCTTGCTTTTTTGGTAATGCAAAAATGATGCACTTATTTCTATGTTTCTACCCTTAAAACTTTGCAATACAAATCCTTAACATGACATAAACTAAAAATGTCCAAAGGAAAAGACATTTTTTAAATCTAGAACAATTTTAGAACATTCCAATATAGTACCCTGCTTTAAAAGACCTACAGAAACAACTCCAGCGAGCCTAGTAATAGGCTGCTTGTAAAATCAAACACTATTGATCGTTAAAGCAGTCGTAAAACGATAGTTCGGCTCGTCTCGCGGAAGATTTCCTAAATTGCACGCTAGTAACCGAGATTCTTATCCAAGAGTCAAAGAGGCGGTTTTAAGGATAGGCTAGAAATCCAAAGGATACCAAGAGGTGAAAAGCCTGGAGAGCAAAAAGGATAAGGTAGCAGAGAGGCTGCGACAGATGGACCGTGCGCGGAAGGTGGAAGGAGAATCCTAAGATGGCTGCCGTTTGAACACGGTGTGCGCGTCGCGGGCAACAACAACAACGTGGGTGAGCTAACGGGTGCCCGATGTGGAAGTGCAAGCTATAACTCGGTGATTTTTTTCGGATGTGAATTCCATTACTGTCGACGGAGTTTCGTTAAAAAAAACGTTTTCGTGAACGGGTAGAAACGTAGCGAGGTACACGGCCACGCCCTTGGCACAGGCAGCCATCTTGCGTGTCAGCTGAGCGCGATGCACCACGGTAGTCAGTGTTGCAACCCTAGCAACCATCAGGCGACTTACACTGCCTGCACGCCTTGCCAACATTGCCTTACACTACTGTTCAGGTATTTTGATAAACTATCCTGGAATTTATAATACTACCCTCATTTTGTAGACATAACAATATTCAGAGAATTTAACATAAAGATGTATTAAACTTAAGAGGGTGAAGTTACACAAAAGAATGAAGAAAAACGATAAACTGTTTAGAAGAATGAGAATGCTAAAAATAACAATACTACCAAGTTTCTTGTGTCTACTCTTACACACTGTGGCTATATTCTGAACGTTACATTTTTCTTTCAACCGTTTAATCGCTGATATTTTCCGGTCGTTGATTATGCTACGCCGACCGTTGTCGTGCTGGAACAATAGCAGAAACATATTTATTGGAATTGCAAGTTCAATTTATTTTTCCAAGAGAATTTGAAAGCATTCTTTCAATTGTATTTTTAACCATTTTGTTTCAACCTTATGGCGCAGACAGCATAAGTTGTCGAAAATAAATTTGGATACAGTGTTTCTTTTCGACAAAACAATATAGCGAATAATCGTGACGTTTAAGTTCGATTACATTTGTTGATTCATCCATTTATTTTCACCGGCACAGGAGACGAACACCGATATCATCGGGTTTTAGCAGATCGCGAAACATATCCACTTACACTTCATTGCCTATCAAGCCGAGTACTTCTGCTTGAGTTTCATGCTCGCCTCGCTTCTCCACGGAACTTATAAACGTGTTATATATCAGATAAATGTTTTCCCCTGCGTAGCTACCGTCCACTTTGCTTGGAAGTAGTAGGAAAGTAAGCCTAGTAAATATTCTCTGATCTCAGATAAACTCATTGGCAAAATTTCGATAAACTCACCGATTTTGCGATAGCCATGAATTTCACACGGTTTTTTATCATTTGCACTATACTTAGTTGTACTGTGGTCTGAAATTACGTTCATACTTCAGCACACGTATATATTTAATAATTGTGGGAATTACAGTGTCAAATTTACGAAAAATGTAAAAATACACCTGCCCGAAAGCAGTGTTTCCTTAACCCTCAATTAAAATGTCTGAAATAGTATTTTTTTAATAGTCTGTTAACATTATAAGAGTATATATGTATCTCAAAAACACGTATAAATAGAAATTAACCTCTCCGAAGATGGAAGGGAAGAAGGAAGAAAAAAAGAAGAAGAGAAGATAGTATTAATGGGGGGATCATGTTTTTGCCGTTTCTCCGAGCAGCCTGTATCTTCTCTCTTTCTTTTCGGTTTCAATCCAGTGGGACTCACACAGCACTTCTTTAGATCAAGCACATTCCTGAGACTCTGTTGGCCCCGATGAACCCACTTGATGAAAAGCTCTACCAGCCCACGTCGCCACTCTTATGGTACACCGCGTACCCCGTGCACGACCCTGTCTTGTCCTGTTCTGGCCGAGCCTACGCGCAGGGTATCTAGGAGCACTGGCCTACCCTGATAATCCACGACTTCTGCTTTGCGATCCTATCTCACTTCTATTGTTTCTATGATCGTACGTACAGTTAACCGTACGAGTCGTTTGTAATATTACAAAGTCTAAACCGGATGGTTCCGTGATATGCATCGTTGTTTCTTTCGAACTGACTTATACGAAATGCTTTGAATTTTATCGATATTTTTCACTAGGGTACTTTGCGCTGCATCGCTTCGACCTTTAGATACCTTCTTAGATTGCTAGGATACCTTTTGAATTGAACTTTTTACTATTTACTGAAAATCCAACACATGTCTCAGATGTGGTTGACATGGTGCCTAAAGTATTAAGGCATAAACATATTTTTATTGATACAATTTGCGCTCGATAAAAGTCACAATACCCGCAGTGAAGAGCAGTCCAATTTATTCGAGATATCTTATCTGCCGAGTCGTAATTTTAGTCGACGAGTAACATATCATGCTACTATTGTATGAATGTTACAAATTTAATTCATGATCTTCCTTTCTTTCTTTGTTCTACCTAAACGTGAAATTATATAAGACAAATATCACATTTAAATTACTGTGATAGTTTGATGATTTATTAAGTAAAACGAACGACATGTTACGGGATCAGTAAAGAATATGTTCATTTCATCAGCAAGAAACATGGCGAATATTGATCTTCCAGAAGTTTTTCGCGCGCTATTAAAAATGCAATATTTTTTGCTGGTAACGTGTTCTTCACACACGCACCGGAAGTTCGTTTATATTGCTACGTATCTGGTTAATCTGAAAACGTTCAGACGTTAGTCACTTCTTGTTAGCGCCTAGGGTTATCGTGTACGACGCCATTAATGTGCGCATCACGGCAGTGCATTAAGGAGATAGACACTGAACAACGTAAAATAATTATACAAGAAGTTTATATCAAGTATCGCGATGTTCCTTTCGTCCAGACCTGTTCTCGTTCGTGTTTCACTTTCATACGATACTCGTCTATTTAACAATTTCTACTCATCTGGATGATAAAATCAGCAGACAGTATGATTATCTTACAAATAAGAAACTAGCGACACCTGGAATTGGTTGAGCTATATACAGAGTGTGTTAATGAAGTTCGGCGAATGATCTCAACAATGACAAAAAATCACTTATATTCATAAAAAATATTAGAAGAATAAAATACTATACAACATGTTAGTTCAAGGCATTCAACTTATGTAAATACATATTTCTATAGTATGCTCATTGATACTTACAATACCATTCACGGAACTTTATAGACTCACTGCTTAAGTCTGAGGTTATATATCTTTCGTCACAGAAAATGAAATATGATTAGGTATTGACTTGGCGAGAGGTACAATAATAATGTGGTTTATAGCCAGGTCACTTTCCTTTTGTTGTAGTTGATAGGAATTATCCTAGGATGAATGTTTAGACGCGCACCGTAGCTCCCGCAGGGAGGTTTTACCTGTTATGAAATTTTCAGTGACTAGAGTAAAGAGAAGTCCTAATGCCGTCGATTTGCATGGCAGATTAGGGAAATTAGGTGGGCGTGCCACGTGGTGCTAGTACTGTCCAAACATTGCGGCACGCCTATTTACCTTTGCTTGGCTTACCTACCTGCTTGCACTTACTTAAGACCATCAAAGGAATGATTATACGATACCCTCGTATTTGCCTCCGCGATTGAGGTCAGAAATGCTTTGACTAGATAAGCTTCGTTGCAGGTAATGCGAAATCTACCCTTATTGTCTTTAAAAACGAGAGGCACTTCTCAACTTAAACTTGCCAGACTGAATCAATCAAATGAGATAGCTAAGGCCATTTTTATATTCAGTGTATTTCTATTTTCCCCCATAAAAACTGCTTATTGTTTTCGTTTTTTACATAAAAGTCACATTTAGATCGCAAGTTTTAAATAGCGATGGTGTCAATGTTATTTTCTTTTCACTGTAGCTGGAAGTGAAATAATAGTTGTGCTTCTGTTTGCGTACCCCTAATCGCAAGAAATATCACAGTTGATAACTTCTCAACTACGATCGGGCAAGGATACCAGAAACGCGTAATAACGAAGCGTTTACAGAGCCAACCACGGCGATTTCATTATCCCTACGGTTCAGCAATTTACGGACCATTACGGTAAAGTCCTACAGGCTATACCGGGCACGAGATAGCCACGTCGTATCATCCATTATTCATCACCCACTTCTCCAGGCCTTCTCCGTATGTACAGTCTCGCCCGTCGACTTGCGCCCCCTTCCAACTGGGTTCTCCCTTTAAATCTTTCGTAGCGACACAGATTCTTTACTTTTTTCTTTTTCTTCTTTTGATTCTGCTTCAACCGGCTCCTTTTAATTATCTGCTAATGCCGCTATTGTTTAAAAATTTGAATTTTCCTCGGAGCATTCAAGCATTATCTTATATTTCATTTCTTATCATTTTGATAGGCTGGCCGTCGTGCATTACGACAACAGCACGCTAGGTGTATTACACAATGAAATATTTAATTCATGAGAAGAACGGACCAAGCAACTTTCTCGTAGCCGAAACTGTAAATGTTTCTACTTTCGTCGTGTTGTTCCTTTTTTACGTCGTCGTATCACTTGAGGATTCGTAAAAACATACTCATCGCTCAAGCACAAGAAAATTTGATTAAGAATAGACTACCATTAAGTTTTTATTGAATTTTTTTAAAAATAATGTAATAAATCGTTATTTTAATGAATAGTTTACGTTTGTTTTTCGTTACATAATCTCTGTATTAAAAGAGATTGTCACTGACGTTTACCAATAATATATGTACCAAAGTTTTTCGAAGTCCGACGATTCTAAGTTTTTCTAGCCAACCTTGACCTTAAAAATGATGGAAGAGTGCTAGACAAGAAAGTTTACAAGTATTTTGAGGACTAAACTGCAAAGTAAAAGATATATTTCCTTCCAACTTTAAAATTCCTAAACTTTTAAATTACTAACTTTAAAATTCTTAAACTTTTAAATTTTGGTGGAAATAATTTCGGCCAAAATTTCAACCTGATTGTGAAACAAACGAAGCCGAACCGAAACTATTTTAAAGGAGGAGTTGTCAGTGGAGGTATCCCAGCCACAAAGACCCGAAGGCCTCCCCTTTTCTTTCAAACGCGTCCCCTTCCTAGAACATCCTTAAATTCAGTCCTCGCCCTCTTTTTAACCGACCACCATGTAGAAGACCATGATGGTGGACCTGAAACGATCATTGAGAAGAAAGACACTCGTTCAAATTCGGCGCGGGTTGCGTTCCTAATAAAGACACTTTTCATTTTTTCTTTCTCCTTCTTTATACCTGAAAGCCGTTCACTAGACATTCATTACAATTTTTTACGGTTGTGGTTCTATTATTGTCTTTTAAACAGCTATACTTTCTTTCATTTTAAAATATTACTTGCTATGCGAATTCAGAAAAAAAATTAACGAGGCTTTTTATTGAAAACTAGACCATAATCAACATGTGAAAGGTACAAGTTCCTAGATAATTTGATGATATATTAACTGAGCTTTTCATGCTTTCTTCTGATTGGTCCATAGCCTTAGTGCGACCGTTATCCTTCTTCTTGGCTGTGCCTCGCGCGGTGGGTCAGATTCCGAACAAGAAGTGCGCAATTGCGTTATTAATGAGATTAAATTATATATAATTAGCTTTTTTTGCCTTTGTAGTGATAAATTAATTTTTAATCGCGAACGGAGTGTTGAAAATATTGAAGATGTGGAAGACAGAACGGATTCTGCATCGCATTGAGAAATCAGCAAGCATGGCCAGGTAACAAATTACACGCCATTATAGAAAATATTAAAAAACTGTTTCGAAGGCTATATACATGGAAATTTAGTAAAATGTTAATGCACAGATGTAAAAGGAATTAAAACTTGATAATATATGTATGTAGAAAACTTACATATTTACTGATTTAACCAAAATTTTTTGTTGAAAGCAGAATTTGCTACTTCACTTTGATAAAAAAGATAAAATAATGAATTTTTTGGTATAAATTGAATCAAATCCACAGAATAAATTATAAAAATGAATAATTCTAACAAAATATTACATAATATTTAGCATAATATTTTGTATTTAACATTGAACAGACTCAGTACATGAAATATTTATTACGGTGTGGTAAAATATGTGAAAACACAGTGTTACAATAAAATATATGCACATTTTGTTACCAGCTGTTGTAACAAATAGAATGAATGAAAAGACGTTAACTTGTTTTATTGATTATGTTAAAGTTATTATCGTTCAGAAGTAATAAACAAATGGAAGCACATGTGAAATATTTCTCAGTATATATTTTATTGTGAAGCTTCTTAAAATGTCATAAATATGTTGCACGTTAACAACATTCATGCAATTCAATAATTGAATATATTAACCTCTTAACTTAACAATTATATTATAACAAGTGTATTTTGCCCAATTATTCTCGGGCTCCTAAGTTAAGAGGTTAAAATTCAATGAAATAGGTTTATTAAATATTTCAACTACAATGTACCTAACAAATTGCAATTAATTAGGCCAGTAATTGCATAAAATTATCCTTTTTATAATGGTCAATGATAACAGAGATAAATGTGTGGACCTATCGCTGTGTGTTTAAAAATAGGAAGTAAGATGATTAATACTTTCTAATTGCGTTATGCAAAGATTCATTTTCATGCTTGTATTAGGTGTGCCTGTTACAAATAAACATACAATTATCTCCCCCGTTACAATGGAAATTAAATGGTTTTTTTATTGAAATTAGTTGAGCAAAGTTTAAAATGGAAGAGACTAATATAGTTTAAATTTCTTCACATTCGTATAATCACTAATTATTCTTTCAAAACTATTTAAATTAATTTTTATTTAAATTTCTTTCAAATCAGAAGTCCCTGTAATCTCATTTAAATTAAACAAACATGGTTTCGGCTGTACGACCGCACACTACACAGAATAACGTTTCCTCCTATCCTTTCAATTGACAAAGGAATAAGACACGCTCACCGTAAATTATTCCCCTCGGTGCCTTTCTTGTCTTTTTTTTCCGGAAAGCTAATTTTTCCTTTCTTCCTTTTCACAGTGTATCCATCCGTTCGTGTACCCTCTCCTTCTCGGTCAAAGTATCCTCTCGATTTATATGTATTACGCTTAGAGACGTTTGAATTGCAAATCCATGTCGTGCGCTCGCGTATATAGCGCAGTCTAAGCCACGGAGAAATGCATTATTGTTATTGCTGGCACGATCCCTCCACAGTTCAACGACGCAGGTATTAATATGTACGGTCGATGTGTTTCGTTACGTAACACTTAACTCCCATAATCTGGCCCAATAGACTGGGCTGATTGTAACTTTGTGGTCTGTCTAAGTTTCCCTCTCGTTATATGGGCCATGCGCTGAGGTGTTGTATGAGAAGACGCGTTAAATTATCTTGCGATACTAACAGAAGCCTTCCTTTTCGGAGTGTCTAGTGCGACTTCACCGCCATTGCGTTTAAATGATTTTTAACCCTCTTAACAAATTAAACGTCGCGTATACAGATTACAACAAATGAGTTAGAATGTTATTATTATATAAAAACGAAATGTTGCATATTTTTTCTATAATTTATATTTATGATTGTTTGTATTTTCCGGCATATATCACATTTTTTATTTTTCTATGATATTTACTAAGATAAATTGGTATTTTTTTAAATATTCACGAATATCATAAATCTGAGATACCCAAGCAATGCTGAATAATCCTGCTGGTTTTAGAATTATTATTTTTTTTTATTTACAGCTTCATTTTCGAAAGAACCAAATAAATTTTTCGAAAATCTGCTTATGTAATTAAATTTACAATGTCTTTTCTAAATATGAATAAAATTTGAAGGTGCCTTTTTGAAAATAGAATTTAAGAAGAACAAATTATATTTACTCGCGGGGTAGCAGTATTTTCTCTTTCATACCACGATTTTGGTCCCAGCTTGTATATTTTGCAAAGTTTTTCATCTTTCTGTTCGCTTTTTTTGAACGAAACGAAAGAACTCGTGGTTCGTTGATTGTCGTCATATTCGATTACCAGTAAAAAAGAAGTCTGACGTAATAAAAAATGGGAAGCGATCGTTCCGCGGTATCAATACTGTCGTTGAAGCGCTATCACTTGCCGGTGATGTTCTTGGAAGCTGGAATGTTTTTTTTTCATTGCCACAGAAAAACAAGGGGGAATTAGTTAAGAGCTAAGATCCGTAGACGAAAGCAGCAGCGAATATGGCATTGCACGGTCGTCTGTCACAGACAGGCCCTCCCTCTTGGAATCTTAATGTCGCGTGATAGCCAGCGCACAAAGACCATCAGTGTACCCCGTGAAACAGAAAATCATTGTAAATTCGAAACTGCGTCGTTCCTTATACGTTCCAAATGAATATTAAATATGCTTTACTGATTACACGCTTCAATAGCCACATTTGTACAAAGTAAAATCACTTTCTCTCTCTCCATCTTGATGTATACGTTCTAATCAAACACGGTTGGTAGTTTCGTAGAAGGATAGTTCGTTTTATCCCGTTTGTCCTTTTCAGAACCCAGAACCGGATCCAGATGACAGCAGTTACTTGAGATGTCGTGAGGTAAGCCAGGATAAAGATAGGTAAGTTTTTGAACAATTACTAAAGCTTGTGCGGTAGAAATGAATGATAATTGACATATAACGAAATGAATGAGCTTATAAGCCATGATAAATGTTATTAATATTTTTCTGTAAGAATATAAAATGCAGCAGGTTAAATTATATATTCGATACTGTACACTTTTTCTTTTTAATGAGAGAAACTTTGTTTAAAAAATGAACTCAAAATAATTTGTGCAACCTGTGATACGAATTCTTTATCAGATCGTACTTATAGAAGCTTTCATTCTAAAGTGGTTGAAACACGACAAAGTTCTGTAATGAATCGTGTGAGTGATATGAGATAGGACTTTCATAATATAAAGCAACTTACAGGTTGTAAGGGTAAAAAATATCATTTTTCATAAAAAAAATTTACCGTGTTGCATGCAAAATTATACAGGGTGAGTCAGATAAAATGTTAAGAACTATTATCGCAGAAAGTGTAACAGCACCCGAAGCACCCGAGTGTGTGGTGTATACAAATTTTTTTTAAGTGACTGCTGTAAGGGCAATAAACTGACATTTCTTTTTTAAGTTCAATGAACTTAAGGCCCTTCGGGCCTTCGGCAATGATTTTCAAAGAAGATTGACGCTACTATTTCGTTAAAAATGTGTGTGAAGTATGTAATGAACATATTCTAGTGTGTGAAAGTATCATATTTTGGCATCATCCTGGTAATTAAAAAGTTATCAGATATGATATGCAAGGTGTGAAAAAAAGTGATTGACATGTTTATAAGGAAAATGAATTATGATAGTGAATTAGTGCGAAGTTCGTGCGTTGTGCTCTGTGTGAATCACACCTACTTTCTTGGTGGATCCAAGGATATCCTGCCCAAAACCATACCGAACACCTATTCTTTCCGGAAAGAACCATGGTGGAGATGAACGCGATCGATTTTTTCGATCGCGTGATTCTCGATGAATTGATGCGTCTGTTTCAGGTACATCTTCAGCATAGCCAAACATCCCCAGTTTCACAATGCAATAGGATTTGAGCGGAGAGCTTTGCTCTTATCGCTCTCCTTTCATTGTTTCTTCGATAACAACAGGCCGCCAGCAGCAGCAAAGGATTCTGATGTGTTTGTATTTCTTGAAAAAAAAAATGTAGTTTTGAAAATAAAATGGCAGAGTACTACGTAAGTTATTGCATGAGTGTAATTTAACCTTCTTACTGCTGTGATAAAAAGCATTTAACAGTTGTGATTAAATAAATGCTTTACTTATTTTTTTTATTTAAGTTGCTTTTATTAAACTGAATAAGTTTTTTTGAACCGTTTTCTGATATTTTTTATAGTTAACCATTCATAACAAAGAGAGTATTTAAGGGTCGAATACGCAAGAAAAATTAAAACAGACGTGTTTTGTCTTAAAATTTATGTTATTAAATATTGAGAACGACGAATATTCTGAATTAAATTGTTGATCGTATATTATTCACGATGAAGCTTTTAATTTCAGAAATTATTATTGAAATGTAGGCAAAAGATTCGGGACACAAATTTTTATTATAAAATTGGCTATTACAATGACTTCGTAATTCCTTTATTGTTGAATATATCATAGTGACGTTATGTTTCTAAAGTGTTCAGTCTTCAGTATTAAATGTTTAAGAATAAATGTAATGGCGTTAGAATTTTGATTAAAAGAAAGAAGTATCGTTTAAAAAGAAGCCAGTTCAGTATTTACAGAGGTATCGGGCACGTTCTCTTACAACGTTCGCATAAGTAACGATCTTCGAGCAATAGCTTACCCGCACCCTACCATTAGGTCTAAGTATTTATGGGCTCATTCATTTCGTTTTATGTTTCAATTTGGACGCATTGATACTTGTTTGTTTACGTGTAAGCTGCCACTCATTCATTCGGCTACTCCAACCACTTCTAACCAACCGTTATTATCCCCTTTGTAGTGGCAAATACACTTTCTTCGTTACTTCGCGTTACTTCGATATCCTATTATTATTGTATATTACTTACTACTCGTTATCTTGATAACACATTAATGAGTGGCAACTTTACGCGTTTGTTATATTGTTTAATATCTGAGTTATATGAATGTTTGAAAACGGGCCTGGTTTCCATTAAATGTACGACTTTTCAATTTTTTCGACGAATACAGTACAGTATCTATATCTTATTTGTATATTGTATGAATTTCAACAAAGTTCGACGTTACTATGTATTTTCGTTAAAAATGTGTGTGAAACATATGAAGTCATTAAATGTATGACTTCTCAATTTATTCGACGATTACAGTGCAGAATATAGTGTGTGTATGTTGTACTAGAAAACCTGCAGGCGAACTGCAGGTGAATGCCGAAGGCAAGACATGAACAACATGCGCAATTTTGGATCGCTTGAACTCTTGAATCGACAAATCAACACCAGTTTCTGAATGAATTTGCATCAATAAATTCTTTTGAAAATATCTCGAAATCTAATCCATGTTGACCTATTTTCGCCAATTGTTTGCAAAACTAGAGATCGAGACCTTTACATTGACACCAAACATGTCCAAAAAGTATGGAGAATAAGGTCAGGAGAATGGCAACAAAAAAGGTAACAACGAGAAACGGGGTCAGTGGGAGAGAGAATCGAAGGCCCGAATGAATTTCAAAAAAGATTGACGCTACTATTTCATTAAAAATGTGTGTGAAGTATGTAATGAACATATTCTAGTGTGTGAAAGTATCATATTTTGGCATCGTCCTGGTAATTAAAAAGTTATCAGATATGATATGCAAGGTGTGAAAAAAAGTGATTGACATGTTTATAAGGAAAATGAATTATGATAGTGAATTAGTGCGAAGTTCGTGCGTTGTGCTCTGTGTGAATGACACCTACTTTCTTGGTGGATCCAAGGATATCCTGCCCAAAACCATACCGAACACCTATTCTTTCCGGAAAGAACCATGGTGGAGATGAACGCGATCGATTTTTTCGATCGCGTGATTCTCGATGAATTGATGCGTCTGTTTCAGGTACATCTTCAGCATAGCCAAACATCCCCAGTTTCGCAATGCAATAGGATTTGAGCGGAGAGCTTTGCTCTTATCGCTCTCCTTTCATTGTTTCTTCGATAACAACAGGCCGCCAGCAGCAGCAAAGGATTCTGATGTGTTTGTATTTCTTGAAAAAAAAAATGTAGTTTTGAAAATAAAATGGCAGAGTACTACGTAAGTTATTGCATGAGTGTAATTTAACCTTCTTACTGCTGTGATAAAAAACATTTAATAGTTGTGATTAAATAAATTTTGTACCAAATGAGTGAACAATTTATCATCTAACAGTTTGTCTCCGTATAAGTACGATTTTCACGCGTAAAAGATATTAACTCAGTTATTCATCACACACTTTTAATTGCAAATCGGTTATGCAAATTATGTTTCGTCGCGGCGAAATAGAACTTGTTAAGTCGACAATGGAAACCAGGCCCCGAAGTGTATGATTTAACACGATACCGTGTAGAATGCGTGTTGTTAATATTTAAAACGAGGACTGAGTTAACCGAGCAGCTGGCTCGTCCAATTATCTTTCATCGATTTATTTCTGCATGCAAAGTAACGTTTCTGATCACGACGGGATGATTTGAACGACAGTATTAAGTATAGGTGTTAGTCGGTAATTTCGACGTTTTGTCCGGCTTACAGCGGTGACGAAAAAGTGTAAACGTCCTGAATGGAATGTATGAACGCGCCTTAATGTTTTGTGCCCTGCTGGACCGGTTACCCAACCGGTAAGGCAGGCAGCGATCAAGCTTAACGAGTCCTCGAGTTGTGTTTAAATAAATTAGACTCCAATTACGTCGATGTAGGTGATGTCTTCAATACTTTTTTTTCTTGCACATTATATTGTTTAATTTTGAAACTTCACTTTTCATAGACCAAAGGTGCTAAACTGTTCGTGAATGTTGATCCGTTCAGTTATTCGAACATTTACGTCCTGCTTGAAGATTAACGAGTGCAGCTGCACGAAAAGGATTGGCAACGGCAATATACATTTTCTCTTGGCACTTTTACATTAGAAGCGCGACACTGGAATTTCTATTTGAACACGAAGTGCAATCAGGAAAGTGTTTCTGTATCGTACAAGTGTCTGTGACGGGAGTGAATTTCTGGTTGGACCGAAAATATCGGCTGTGAAAAGTGTAGAGAACTGCGAAAGATATTTTGCAGCTAGGTGATACGGCAGGAAACCGCCAGATGGCAAAGAGGACTTCTTCCGTGTCCTTGCCACTTGATCCTGTTGATGTACTAAGGATCGATATGTATACTTGTGGGTATCTTTTTAACAACTGTGATTAAAGCTGTGCAAAGTGAAATTTTACGTCTACCGATGAAACGAAACTAAGTGATGTGTGTTGGATAAACTTTTCTAGTCCAGTCCAGTTAAGCAGAGAATATTGTAGATTTTTTATTACGGACTTAAAGACTGTCGTGATTTATTGCCGATCTATTGGTAAAACCATTTTTAACCATGTATACACACTTTAGTTCTCTTTCTTTTTTTTTAACGTAATGCAAAACGTGTACTCTGCTTCAATGCACCGCCCAAGTACGCCATTATTATCTACCGCCGCGAGTGCTCCTATATCACAGGTTGATCCCCAAGAGTTTCGATTCGCGCGAATAACGACGAGAATCGTGCTTATCTGAAATTCTGACGCTCGTTCATGATCGAATATTCATCCTTGGTCTCCCTGGGGAGGCGGAGGGAGGAGGCTATAAGAAAGCAAAAGAGAAAGAAACGAGTAGGGAACGCACAGTAGGGTTTAAAGGGGGGAAGAAAGAAAGACCAACCAAAATGAGAGTCCAAGCAGTGCGTTGAACCATGGCCGGAGGAGAGACCAGAAGAGCCAAAGCCACTGGAGCGATGAAGAATGGGTGCTGGTTTAGCAAGAGTACAGATTTGTTCGACTCGGGTGCAACGGCCTCTTTGCTTTCGTGTCCATCTTCCCGTTGCTATAGCTACGCCCTCTAATACCTCCCACCATCTTCGAATATTTCTTCTGTTTTGGTTTTGTTTGAAATCCATAAGGAAAATGTCGATCATCCATTTTGACTTGCATGCTATCGTTTCTTCTTGATGATATTCTCTGATACGTGGTTAGATTTATTGATGGCAATATTTGACCGTGAAAATTAATGAATGCTTTCGGTGAAATGAAGGCAATACCAGAGCAATATTTAAGATTAATGTAAGCAGTTGTAATATTTTCGAAGAATGAGTTAAACCATTTAAATCTGAAAAAGTTTCTCGTTTGTACGAAGCACATGGTAGACTTCTCTTTCTTACCGTTTATCTCACTTTGTGAAACGAACATTGAATAGAAGCATTTATAACATTAGTTAGATGACGGTTGAGCTTGTAACTGTGACAAAAAATAAGGAAAAACAACTTGTAATAGTCATGAAGCCATCAAATAATTGTCGGCAGCAGCTACAGAGAGTGTCCGGTTTTGTGAGAACAACCTTGGTCATTAAATAAACTCCTTTTGATGGTTGGCTGGTTATCTTCAATGGCGTTTTAAAAGGGGCATTTAGGCCCATTTTGGCTACCCACACAGCCCCTGACACCCTTCCCCCTTCTTCGGCGTTATGGTGGCTCTCTTCACGCCCCCACCATATTCGACACGCGTCCTACCATGCTATAAGCTTAAAGGCCCTGACTTTTACGATTCTGTTCAAGTGGTCATAAAACCGGAGTTTATTGCCGTCATGATTTTCAAGCAAACGGGCTGCCACCTGTCGGAGTCCCACAAAAGCGAAAACTGCATCGAGTCACTTCATCAAGGGCTCCATCAATCCGGGCATTTCATGATTACTTTAACGAGTCGTAAATCTTTTTCGAGACGTTAACAAACGAAATATATAATACATAACATTTTCTACTTGAATACGTTATTATGCAAAATATTTATTTTAAAAATTGAAATTTGTAACTTTTCTGAAACATACACAAAGTATATTTATTTATGTCGTAAAACGTAGCATATGTTAAATGCACATACACAACACATAACGAAAGCAGTAAATGAGCTGCAACTATTATCGTGAACAAAGAACGATATCCTCGTAAATGGTTGTAAAAAGTAATAAATGATGCGAGCCCTAGGTGTAATGTAGTCGCGTGTTAGTTTTCATAAACATTATTATTCTGCGAAACGGGAACGTTTAAACTGTTTTTTTGAGACACGCGCGAAGTAGTAGGCGGGTTGTGTCCTAAACATTCATAATGGCAAAAGTGAGCGAGCAAATAGTCCGGTCCGGTCCCTGAGAGCAGCTTATGATGGGCATTACTCGGCTCGTTACGGAATAATTTACGAGGTGCGAACCGCGGGGGCGATAATCCAGCGACATTTACATCCCAATAAACATTCCCGATACTGGTGCGGCGCGCGCCACGGTGCTTACTTGCTTCCCTCACGGAGGAGCTCACTTTTACGGCGTTTTAATTGTACGACCGTAGTCTAATTGGTTCGTAAAACGCTAAAGTATCTCGTAAAAGACGTTTATGATAACATTCGTGTCGCTCGTACTCACAATCGCGTCATCATCGAACCATCGGACAGGCTCGAACCGGACCGGTTCAGCTGGAATCGGAACTTACAGGGATGGGACGTGCCTCGTGCCTACGAAATATATACTTTCCCTGTTTATCTTTCCTTTCTCTGTCTCTCTTCGTAGCTTGTCTATCAAACGATCGCACGTAAGAGTCAATTCGCAAGACCGCTTTCACCAATAACGATAATCGCAAGGTGCCTCGTTGATGTTGGTCGTTTGAACGTCTGAATGGATCTGGCAACGTTAGTTCGCGATGAAACTCAGAGGTGGCGGTGCACGTATCCCCACGAACGGATAGATCGCGGAGAGGGAAGGAGCGGCGAGGAAGAGGAAAGGAAACATTGCGTGACGCGCGTGGCGTGCAGCTTTCGTTCTACCGTACGGCAGCCGACCGTGTCTGTATCCACGGTTGCTCGCGCGTTTTCACTGGTGGGGGTAATGCGGGGCGGCGCCTAACCAGTCATGGGCGTCGTTCCAACTTGGAACTACTTTCACATAGTGTAGGAATTTTCGTGCTGTGGCGGCGCGGTACTCGTGACGAATTCAATTCTGATTGGTCCTTAAGCATAACCTCCTCCCTTGGCACCCTGTTTTCTTCCCCCTTCCGTTCTGTACCAACGACGCGTGATCGTACTTCTTGTCTCTCTCTTAGCTGCTGCAATTTCGCGTCTTTCTTTCTCTCATTTTCTTTTTAGTTTCTTTTTTTACCTGTTTCGCTCTTCGTCTTTCCCTTTTTTTTTCGGCGCGGCTCGAAATCTTACTTTTACGCCAGTCTTTTCGTTACTCCTTTCTTGGTCAATTTGAAACCTTTATATTTTTTTTTAATTTTTCGATCTTTTTATCTTACGTACATGTTTTTGTTTATTGTCTTGTCCATTAGTACGCGTCGAATCTTATGTAGCCCGACAAGCACCGAAGTACGAATTTAATCTCGCGGCACGTCGTTGAGTTGCTCGAGCGGTCGACAGGGGGCTTCGTGAAATCTAATCGGGAGAAGGAAAAAGAGAGACAGCCGAAGAAAGTGGAAGAGACAAAACGAAACGCATCGTCTAGAGGTGGAGCGAGATGGAATGAGAGGGTGAGTGAGCAAACGTGGAGGGGGCGTTATATGCGGGGGAGGGAGAGAACGGCGATGACGGAGCAAGTGAGAGGAGTTGGTTATCGCATTGGAGAGGGGGTCGACACGCGAAAGACAAGGAGGAAAGTAGTGGTGGGTTCCTCGTCAACACATAGCACACCGTGGAAGAGTGTGTGCGCACAAGCGAGAAGGAGCGGTCAGAAGGAAGAGAGGGAATGATAGTGGAAAAGAGAAAGAGAAGAAACGAGGGCTGATGGGAGAGAGAGAGGGAAATTGGTTGTGGAAGCAGGAGAACTCGATGGTGAAGGAGAGAGACGAAAGGAGACGAACGAGCGAGCAAGAGACAGAGGACGGTACAGAGTGGCGGTACACGGGGCGCGAGAAAAGCGGTAGTGTGCCGTGGACCACCGCACTGGCATACCGTGGTTCGTTACGATCCCCTTCGTACGTCGCTTCATACTGAACCTCACAGTCGTCAGCGAAGTCACATTTCGACTAGTGCTAGTGCAGTGCGGACAGAGTCAGCGATTCCTTTGGTCCTTTTAAAAGATAGACCGGCCGACATTTCGAGACACCCTGGGCCCCGTGCTTGACTGATCAGAAATCATACACGCATTATCGAAAGATAAAGGAAAAGAAAGAGAGGTGTCCGCGAGGGAGATCGTCGCGTGCCGGCCGACCGAACCGTCGACGGGCGCGCACGCGGTAGAAAGACCCACAGAGGCAGTTTTATAGCTCGTCTTATTACCCCGGTTTATTGCGTCGTAACGATTTAACGATCATCGCCCGTTTCTACCACCTAGACCGCCGGTTTATACTCGTGCCGGTAGCGATAACCATAACAAGTCCATAAAAGCCCCCGCCGCTGCCATGAGTCCCATTCTGAATTACACTCCTACGGCCTACTGACATTGACACTTTGGGTAAAACCGCTTCTACCTACCGATGACTTTTATGACCACTTGAAACGGTTTAATGCCCGTTTGCTTGTCCCTTGTCGACGCTGTCACCTGTCGCCCAGCCGCGTCAAACAGCGTATCGGTGCTCAACGTGACGCGCTTGCCTTTCGACTTTTGGCGCGAATTTGCGGAACATAGAACCAGAACAAGACGATTTTCGTTGTTATTCGTGAAACGATTGGGTTGGTGAACAAACCTAGCTCGAATCGATCACATCGGAGCATGGACTAGTATCGGTCGTGACTAGCCACGCGTGTGTGTGCTCTTGACACTTTACGAACTACAAACAGTTCACGAGGTTACCTGCAAAACTCATCGTCTATCGCTTTGTTTCTCGAGTGTCGGTGTTTCAGTGCAAGTGATTCAAAATACCCGGGATAATGAACTCGTATTTTGAGCAGACTGCGGGTGGCTTCTACGGAAGTCACCACCATCAAACAGGAGCTGCTAGTCAGCACCATGATCCGGCTACAGCAGCGGCATACAGAAGTTTCCCACTTGGTTTGGGCATGTCTCCCTACGCATCCACGCAACATCATCATCACACCTCGTCGTCATTGGGAATCCATCCGGGTGGAGGCACCAATACGAGACCACCGCAAGATTCACCATACGACGCGAGCGTCGCGACGGCCTGCAAACTCTACTCGACGACACCTGAAGCGACCGGGCACACCACATCCTCGTACTCGACCACAGCAACTAAGGACTGTAAGCAACAAGACCAAGCTGCGGCTCATCAGAATGGTTATGCTGCTGTGATGGCAGCCGCAGCTGTCAAGGACGTTTGGCAGTCAGCGACTTCCGGGGCGAACAGCCAGAGCAATTCGGTCGTACGTCCTTCGGCGTGTACCCCAGAAGGTACGAGGGTTGGTAGCTACGGTGGTCTCGTAGGCGGCGACCCGGCATCGAGTCCTGGTAACAACAGTTCCTCGAGGTCCCTCACGTCGTCCTGGAACACCTGCAGTTTGAACTCGTCCGCGAGCCAACCGGTTGCCACGCAACTACATCAGCAACCTACCGCCAACCATACCTTCTACCCCTGGATGGCTATAGCAGGTGAGTTTACATTCATAATATCACTCTGTCGCTATCTCTCTCTTTCTCGTACAGCGATTATCATAACAGCCGTGATGAAATATAGAAGCGACGATGCTTAGGGGGGAGAGAGAGCAGTCCGGTAGTAAGGCCACGTGGTCGGGAAAGGCGTGGTGGATCGAGTTTACCCGGCTTCTCTCGCTACGCTGGGGCTAAATCGTTCAACGTTATGTTTCACGGTCAACGTACGGATCACATCGAACGCCGTGCTTGAAAACACATTCTTTGTTTCTTGTTCATCTCTTTGGACACCACGCTCTTCCCGTTCTATTTACACGATAGACTCTGCGCCCCGTTGATCGCGTAGCCACGACCCAAACAAATCATTCATCCCTTAGTTCCGCTCTGAAAAATGGAAGACAACAGGCTCTGTATACAGAATCGTCGAATGTAAGTTGACGTTGTGTTATGTCGAAACTGGTTGTAATTTTTTGTCGAGTCTATTTGTGCGTCGATTGAAATACGACGTATCCGTCACGAAGCGTAGCCGAGATAACGGATTTATAGTCGGTAGCGGAGTAAAAATATTCCGTTGCCTTCTGCGCGAATGAATGCACCGCGTGCCGGGGGTTGGTAATAACTAACCTGGTCGTGTGAAAGCGACGCGCAAAGTGACACCTCGAGTTATCGTTAATACTTGAACAACCATGTCCGTGTGCACCTCTTTCGAGCGTGATGCTTTCTCCAGTCGTCGTTGTTCAAAAAAAGCCAGTCTGTTTCACAATCGAGAAATCGTCCTGCTAAAATTAATTTTGTCCCCGTTTCCCACCTAGCATCTCTAGTTTTTAATTTGCTGTACTAACCTTTACTCGTAATTCATGGGACATTCGGGGCATAGTGGGTAAAAACCTCGTATGATAAAAGCTTGAATCTACCACTTGTTAACATCACTAAAAAAAGCATAACGTTCTAAGTATTCAAGCAAAAATTGAACCAATAAGACAGCTCTAATCGAGCATTATATATATCTTTAAAGTTTGCATACATACACTGCTTTGATTGAATAAAATATACATAGGGCGTTGGAACGTTAAAAACGTTGGGTCGTGGAAAATCGGGTCATACAGTCGCGATAATGTTACGTCTGGTGGATAGGTAGAATGGAGTCAAGTGCGTGTAAAATCGTTGGGCACGTCGAGTATAATGGGGAAGCCCTCGTCCAATTGGGGTTCAAGTGCCTTCCTCGTCGTACTCACCCCTCCGGAACCCCGAATTCCGGTAGTCAGCTGTTTCTAGCGATGTCTCTGTTTCTCTTAGCGAGAAGTTGCCTGGTAGCCTCTCGCTTTATTGTACGCGGATATATAATCACCCAAGGCCTCTCGAGCTCGATCTCGCTTAGAGGTCGCCGCCTTTTCTCTCTACCAAATTCTAGGTCTTTCAAACAGTGCCTCCTTCGATTCGTCTTCCTTTTTTTTCTTTATCTTATCCCTTTTGGTTCTTCTTTTCGAGCACCTCTTTTCTAGCCTCTTTGTCGCGCCCTTTGGTCCGGTTTAAGGTCCACCTATATTTTTTCATACTGTTTGTCCACGCGAGTTCTTCTTCCTCTCTTCTTCTCTGCATGGATACAAAAGGTGTAGGGATTATTTTATGAGCTTTCGTGACGTAGTCGCGTGCTTATACAAGAAACAGAATTTTATTAAACGAACCTTGTTGTTTACGTCCTCTATAAAGTATTATCTTCGACAGCATTTTTAATACGTGTGGAGAAAGACGATGGTTCTTTTTCTTACTAATAATTCGACTAAAGAGGGAGAGGGAAGACCTCTCTGCTTCAGTTTGCTCGTATATTCTCGAATCGACCGTACGTCTCTCGATAACTGCTGGAAGATTTATAGCCGTTAAATCGTCCTACGTTTCTTCGTTGCCATGATCGGCGGGAAATGCGGCGCTTTGCGTTTTCCTCGGCAAAGATTTAATCGTTTGGTTATGAGGTACGAATCGAGCCGACGATTCCTTGGAATGCAAGCGAACGTAGGAGGAATCGTAGGAATGGGAAGAGGCAATTGATCGGCTCGCACTAGCGCGGAACAGGTTCTTCTATGTACATACTCGCGGATCGAAAGTCGTTGACTCACTTCTCGCTAGCCGGCAAGTGCTCTTCGGAGTGTTGGCCGGTACAAGCGAGATACACGCGTAGGAAAATTTATCGATACAGGATCGTGGATTATTTCGTCGTAGATTAAAGTCTTCTGTGGGCAAATATAGAGCCATCAACGTCTACTGGCGTTCGTTCGTAACGGTGATAAATAATTTGGCTTTATCGTCGCACACCTACTCGAACGATTGGTCAGGACAGTATTATTACCTCCTCGTTGTATGTCGCGTGATGTGTAAAAACCTCTACCTAGAAAAGATGATAAACAACACGTTTATCGTATTCGAGTGGGGGTGGGAAATAAATTTCGTCCTTCTTGTTGTGTTTCAAAGTTTCCGCCGATTTACTGTTAACTATTTACGATCAGGTTTATCTTAAATATTTTACTTAATTGCAATTAATCATTTATGCAAATAAGTGCAATATTTTTAACCATCCCTGTTTTTCAAAAATAATAAATATGTTCCCTTATGGTTTTGAGTGCTATTTGTGGTTATGGAGACTTTGTTCTTTATCTTATGTTCAGGTGTAAAAAATAAGTATTGTTATATAAATTTTATCTTTTAATATGTGCAAGTATCACACTGTGATTTGGTATGCGTGGGAGAAGTTTGTCCAGTTTTGTTATGTTCTTAACATACCTTTCAAATTGGCTAGAAGATGTTACGTCTGTCGCATGATTTATTAGCCCTCTAACGGTATTCGCGTTAAATGTCGTTATTAAGTGTGCAATAAGTGATTGCAGAAGCGATCTATGCCAGGTAAATCTCACAAATCAGAAAGCGATCGACACGTTATCATTAACTCGGTCTTATTGTAGGGATCGGTGTGTTATGGGTACACAATCTCGAGACACACGTTAACAATCGTGAATACACGCGTACGCCAAAGATACTCGATTGCACCGGAATGCATTTGTATCATTGCCACGATAAACATCAAAAAGGGTAGACGGGCTTGATATTCATTGTGATTTATTGCGATTATGAAGCGTCGGCATCGCCACCGTTTCTAAATGTAAATATCTCTCTTATTAATGTCACGATAATGAAACAGTGTAACGCTATCGGTAGTAAAATGCATCGTCGTTGATATAAGGGGTGTATTTAATTCAACAATTATCATGTAAGATTGAGCGTAACCTTTATCGAACAACACGTTCCTGTTGTATAGCTGACAATTTTCAAAGACACATCACCAGAATCACAAAAGGCTTTTTCTATCTGTCGTGCCGTATCACTTTTCACGGGGGCTGTTTTCAAACGCGAGCAAAATTTATGGCCCCTCATTGAAGGGTCCGCCACGTCTATGGGGTAATTAGAGGGCGTGAAGATGAAGCCCTGAATACTATCTGTACACCCCGTGGTTCATTTATTCTCTGTAAAACTGCCTCGTTTCTCGACGATTTCCCTTGGAATGCTAATTCTTGTATCGCGCTATATTCTGCCTTATAATGTTTTCAAAAGATCGATATTCAATTAGAAGGAAAGTTACGCTTCCGGAAACATCTCTGTAATATCGTCGAAGTAACTATTTACGGGTTCAAAAGTAGAGTTTATTTTAAACTTAGTGTTTACTCTTAAAGTAAAGTATATAGTATTAAAAAATTCAAATCCGAATCGACATAATTCATTAAGACAACGCGCGAAACACGTGTCGAAACCTCACTTTTTTATGATGTATAATTAATAATTCATTTAGTATTTTTAATTTGTTCGTATTGATATTGTGTGGTTACGGCAATCATTCTAAACTCGGTACGGTATACGAAAGGATAAACCCAACAAACCTTGAACTCTGAGTGGTGGTGGTGCCGAACCGTCGAGAGAGGAGGTTCCCGCGTAAAAGCCACGTGGTCTCTCCCGCCACGCTCTGTCGAGTTGGAAACGAGTATGGTGCTACTCGACGATACGACGGTTTGCCAGTAGGTGTTACGTACCTCGGGGAGCAAGCTCGTTCAATATAAACCAGCTAGGAACAACGCTGTAACCGTAACGTTGACGTTTACGACGACGAAATCGTGGCTCGGCTCGTTTAACCCCTCCTCCTTATGTGCTTCCACGCTTGCCGCAATCGTCGCTACGAGGTTCGTCGGTAATACAGAGCGCGTATCTTTCGTGTGTATCGACCAAGATCGTTCCGCGTCTTCGTGTGCGGTTCAGTCAAGGGGAAATGTTTTGCTGGAAGAGAAACACGTGCAAGTTCATTGTACAAATCATTTATGGTAGTGCCGGCTGTTTTTACCGATTTATTTCACGCGAGCTTCTAATTACCCCGACAACTGTATGCGGACTCCTCTTCGTAAATTAACCATCGTCCTGTCCTCTTCTGTCTCTGTCGGTTTCCACCCTCGTTTATCATTTTTAATTCAGGTCTGAAAAGAAATAATTGATAATTAGTTGCGAAATGAGTACAATAAACAAGGCTTAATGTACAGCATAGGTGTTTTTGAAGTATACCTCAATGGCTGACGAACATGGCCGAGGGAACTTTCCATCTTGATACCTGATCGCTGTTTCCGGCTGTGCCGTTCCCGCGTGCACTTAGCAACGACGTTCTTACGAACCGTTTAAGGCGTTAATTTACTATCGGAAAATTGAAAAGATCGGATCGTGGAGTTGTGTCTCGAGTATAGGCGTGCGTGTTGCACGCCCGTGACCAAGTGGTTCAACCTCTCCTACCAATAAAGGTGTACAGGCGAGCGAAACTCGTGCACCACACGTGTGTGTGTATGTATGTAAGGTGCAGGTAGGTGTATGTGCGTTTGGGCGCGAACACCAGTGCACTGCGACCTAAAGAGGCAGCCCAAGTAGGTGCGTTCATCGTGCATGGAGGTTTCACAAACCTTTCCATGTGTTGTTTCGTT